GTTGACGAGTTGTAGTGTGATGCTAAGCATGGCAAGGCTCATTGACGATGCCGGCGAAACTTATGGAAATGTACCATATCCACGGTTCGACTCTGGAAATGATCATGCATATTATGGACTCCGGACAAGGTGTGTTCCCCTCGATCTTCCTGCCAATATGACCAAGCTGCGAAAATAAGGTCAATCAACTCTATACAATGAAAGGAGACCACGACCATACAAAAGGCCACTTTATCCTGATCTTCATATCCTGAGATATATTTGATTTAACTAAAATGAATTGCGATGTTTTGTGCAATGAGCAACCAATATTTTTTACAAGGATCCTAAAGCGCCGCCTCCTCTGGAGTTTTGGGCAGACCACATGCATTCAGAGGCTTAGCATTGAGTTAGAGATGTGCATCCATCATTCACTTCTCCACTTCTAACGCACTGATTTAGGAGCCATTTAAATCTCCACTTCATATTCCTATAAGACCTATAGTTAGAAGTCTATAGATTTTTAAATCAGCCAGTATATGCTGCATTTTTTTCCCCATCAAAACTGCCCTATCAATAACCACAATTAATCCCCTTTTGTCTGCCCTAAAAATTAATTTTTCCGATCCTTCTTATGATTTTATTAATCCGCCTGTCATTATTTGGTGCCTCTACAAGTATACAAAGTAATTAGGATTTCAACCAGTCACCTTTCTTGGTTTACGATTTTTAGTGAATTTTCGTAAATGACGCTTTCTGACTCTGAAGGTGTCTGTTATATGACGGCTGAAAGCTCAACATGGATTCATCGAAGTCTTCTTCTCACAATCCAGCTTTCGCAAGTCCAAGAAAATCATAATTTGGACTAAGTTATTATTCCCCTCTTCCAGCTTTTTTAAACAGTGTATGGTCGGCCAGTATCAATCATGTAAAGGATTACTTATTTATAATTTCACAACGTCTTGACAACAACAATTGGCACCAGGAAAGTCTTTTGGATCCCAGACTATATAATGGATTTTTCCATGTCCTAACCATGTTCAATTACTGTGTGTATGCTATTCTTTAATTCAAATTCACTTGGTTGAAAAAAATGCGGTTCCCGATTTATCGTGAACGTTTAACTAGCCGAGCCAGCACAACTAAGTGTAAAAGATTTATCTTCCCGCTTACTGTTCACTGAGCGATGGGTTTAAATCAGAAAGAATTCTCAACTAATAATACGTCTCGACTTCGCGACCGATTTTCACCTCGACAACACTCATTCTGAACCGAAACTAGGCGTTGTCATTGCGTGCCACAGGTACGAGTAGCTATTGCGCCCTCTTGCCCATTATCGAAATACCTTCCCTCCTAGTTAGTACATCAATCAGGAATCAATAACCATCAGTCAAGGTGACTACGACAGTGTTCAAAAATCAATAGTAGTCTCAAAAACTACTCATACAGAAAATAAGTAACGTCGTCGATTGCAATGGCAGGCACATTTGCTTAATCGACGATCCTACTATAAATGTGGGTCGGGGAAAAATTGGCTTGCTTAAAATACTAAATTCTCCCTGAAACTCACGGCCGCGATTTGGAACGAAGTGGTAATATCCCCACGATACTCACGACCTGATATCGAATGTATTGGAGGAACTGATAAGGCCTGAGGATGAGACTGCAGTCCGACAGACTTGATGAGGTGAAATTAAATAACATCACTGAATATAAGATAACTTAACCATCAGTTATGAAATAAAAGATATGCCGATCTGCCACAGAACACCAGATTAAGCACACTCCTCGTGTCCAACAGGACAACAAGAAATAGCCCAAACGAGATCGATTAAATATTAGGCTCGAGACTGTTAAAAAAATGCATTCTTGCTCTGTCTGCCAAACAGAATGGCAGAAGAAATACTAGTGCATTTTGAGCCTACTCGAAGTGTCTCGGGAGCTGTGACAATCTGAACATGCGAAACAGATAAAAATAGCAGAATCCGGACAAACGATTGCCGTCTTCTCGTGAGATCGAAAAACTAACCCTCTCGAGACAATTTGGCACCGATAGCAAGAAACTCGCCAAAAGCCGGTCCTTCTTTGCTTATAATCGTTCACCAGCATTACTCATCACCTAAGCAATAAATCTCCAATCGCAACTCCACCACAAGCGACTAAACTCCGTACGTTAATACCCTTAAAGATATTTTCGGATCAGTCATGGCTATGACAAAGCAGACTTCTTGAAGGACTCACTATTTTGTCTAATAAGTTAGTGACCAATAGGGAACCTTCGCACAAGGAAGTCAAGCTAAAGCATGTGCACTCTTCCACATGTCCAAAAGGACGATTTTCCTCTAAGCCGCATCGGTCCCGCCACTAGACTAGGCGGAGTCCCCATGCCACCCAGACGCTGATTTTGTGCGGTCTTACGGCCGATTACAGAAGGATGGAGTCAGTGCGCGCTTGAAACCGCAGTCCTAGTTGGCTTTTGTAGGTATATGACAGTTAATTTCATCATGCGCTTGCTCTATCTTATATATGCTACCTCTATATCCGCTATCAACAGACTTATCAAGACAAAAAAACATAAGACCCAAAGCGAAATGCTCTACTTTCCAAGAGCCTTTAACTGACAGAGCAGCTCAGCACTAGTCAACAGATTAAGGCATAAAAGTGACCAGCCATAGCCTTAACCATGTCCACTGACAAATCACGTTAGATAGCATGCAACAATCGAGGCCCCGGCTTCCGGTTGCAACTGAAGTAGAATTCATCAGTCTCAATGACAGATTTGGTTGCCACCACATGACACACGAGTCAGCAGCCGGGATGTGAGCACAGACCAGGGGAGACATTATCACCAGTTAGCACATTCGAAATTCACCACATCCAACATAAAGCCCACCTCATTACTCCGCAACCAGATATATGGACATGAGCCTGACGCCAACAACCTTCAACGATTCGTAGCAAGCAGCCAAAAATATGGCCTGACTCCATCGACCAACGAAAAATTATCGGCAGAATAAGTGCCCAATACCACGGGAGCGCAGCCCGTGATAGGATAAGTAAGCACCTTGAGATTAAGGATGAATACAAGTACTTCCACTTTTAGAACTATTCCCGCGTGACAGTACTATTCCTAGAGGGCTCAAATAAAGATCCAAAATCAGTTGAAGCCCTCGGTCGGTGGCAATGCGGCATGAATAAGCGAGTTAGTGACACGAAAAGATTAGACCATGTTTTTATATAAACAGGCAAACAGTTCTGCTAAGTAGCTAACGCAGTTCTAATGATAATAAGTAGTATAAGCAAATAGAGGGAGGAACAGAGCATCGCACTTTAAACAACACTTGATAGTAACCTAGACAGCAGGGAATCCGCTACGCGTGGTCGAATTGAATAATTCATAGCCTGGGCGGCTAACCAACAACCCTTCGGCTATTCCTCAATTGCGAACGAACAGAAAAAATAACTTTTCACACCCAATAAGGTACAAACAGGACAGAAGACGAATCTTCAAAATAAACCAATTGATGCGTAACGCAGGCCAACCGAGGCAATTAATCTAAGTTTCGCAGACTATAGGCAGCTCGACCCGATGATAGGGGGAAAACGGTGATCTAAGGCATCTTCATCTTGGAATGAAAATACCGCTGTACCAACGCAGAGTAAGGATAAATAAAGCCAGCCCCAAACGAGACGAACTAGCAAATGACAGGGACCAAAACGAAATTCAGACACCGACAAGTTAAACCCCCAGGTCGAGAAATACCATCTACATGATAGACTACTGCTCGCTAATACATAAAGCCAAAACATAGCAAGCCAGTTGAAGAATGTACTCAGACTCAAATTATTCCAATTCGGTTGGCGACGTCTATAGTGTCGTAATCCGGAGGAAGCTTGACATAAGCCTTTTTCACGTTTCTTGGACAATTGAGGGTATTTACTTTCGCCACTTTTACTCGATAGAGATCCTGAACAGCAGCCTTGATTGTTTGTTTGTTAGCCCTTCTATCAACAATGAAAACAAGTGTGTCGTTGTCCTCTATCTTTTTCATAGCCGCTTCAGTGGTGACGGGATATTGAATTATTCGAAAAGCATCGAGCCTAAAAAATAAATATATACATTCATCCTTACTTGTTTCTT